GGAAGTTGGCGATGGAAATGGGTGCCGATAAAATGGTGCACATGCCGCGGGACATGTTGACCATCCGTGGTTCCCCGCTGTCGGCAAACGCACTTTCACCACAAGCGCGTTGCTCTATGCACTAGAGTAGTTCCCCCTCCAAGTAATTACCGAGTTATTCTACATATAGACAAAGTTAGGTCAGAGAAAGGGTAGTTCGACAGTGCCTCCCTTGCCATTTCATCTACCCTCCGACTTACCGACTTCGAACTAATCATGACAGAGATATTCTTCTCATCAGAGATCGCAGACAATGTTAAGGGGCGGGTGGTTGTTATGACAGGTATTGCTCACCATGCACCTTAAAAATTGTATCATTTACTAACACGTATTGCGCGTAGGTGGTGCTCAAGGAATTGGAGCATCTCTCATTTCGCTGCTGTACGAGAGAGGAGCACATGTTTACTTCGGAGACTGGGATGATGCAAGAGGCCAACAGCTCGCAGGCCATCTCCAGTCGAGCAAGTCTTCGAGTGGCGGATCGGTACATTTCCAGAAGCTTGACGTCCGTGACTACAAGGGGCAACTACAACTCTTCAAGACGCCGTATGAGGAAAAAGGTCATATCGACGTCGCAATCTCTTCCGCCGCTGTGATTGAGCCAAATGGTTGGTTTGGCACAGATCAACTGACCCTCGAGGCGGTCGAGACCGAGCCCGAACCCCTCAAGAACACCATTGATATCAACTTAACAAGTGTTGTTCTCTTTTGCCGATTAGCGATTGCTTTCATGAACCAGGATAAAGATCCCAAGACCTTGAATGGTTTCTCTAAATCTATTGTCTTGCTGTCTTCTATTGCTGGAATAACCGAGGCAGCTGGTCTTTTTTCTTACAGCGCTGCAAAGCATGGCGTTATAGGGCTGATGAGGTCTCTACGAGCGCTGGCGACAACCAAGTTCAACATTCGCATCAACACCGTGTGTCCCTGGGCGACGGATACGCAGATGATAGATAACGTGCGCTCCATCTTTGAGAAGCATCAACTGCCCTTCAATACGCCCAACGACGTTGCGCAGTTCATTCTTCAGCTGGCGACGGATAAGAGTTTACACGGGAAGTCCGTTCTGGTAGCTGGTGGTAGAGGGTTTGATACTGAGGAAGGCATTGATAGGACAATGTCTGAGTGGTTCGGGCCTCTTACGGAGGAATTCTGGCGCGGGCAAAAGGTCCTTGGCACGGTACGTACTCTGACTTCCGGATTCTATGTACATTTGAGTGGCCG